GCTTAGATTTGCCGTCGCCGCATCCACTTTGAGTGGCTTTCCTATCATTCCTGCGATAGAGAAGAGAGCCCGTTTGTCGTGGAAGTGCAAAGGCAGTCCGTCAAACATGATCCACACCGGGACTATGGGTGATTCAACATCAGGTCGGAAATCGGGAGTCCAGCGAGTAATCCTCATCTTGAAACCCTTTATCATCCAGGCTTGCCTAAGCCAACACCTCTGGAAATCATCCCCATGGGCAAATTTGAGTAGAACATGCCTTTGATCCAACAGCCCCAGCGTAAATCGCACCGAGAAACCAATTTTTTCAAACTCAGATCGAATCAAGGCCATTGCAGGCCTTCTTTAACAAACGACCCCACCAACACGAACTTATGCTGATCGGCCAACGTTGTAACCTCATCATCTAAAAACTGGATCGTAGGCAGCCCTTTGCGCCTAAAAGGTACCTTAAGTGGAATCTCCTTGTTTGCCGCTAATACTTCCGCAAAAGATCGCGACGCTGCACCCGGCACCCCGGCCGGAGCAGCCCATGCAGGCTTCGTCGACATGGAGCGTCCGTAATCGCCGGAGCAGCTAGGGTTTTCAAAGTCTATTCTCGCTTGAAAATGTTCTTTAAATATATATATATATATATATATATATATATATATATATATATAAGTAGAGGTCCTGTCAGGCCGATGCCATCAGAGTCCCTTCTCGGTGGAATTTTTTGATGAAATGTTTTGCGCATGTTCTTCTTCAATTCTATTTCATCCATACCAAATTTCAGCTAAAAGATCAATCGGAAAGGTAGTCAAATAAATTGTTGAAGAAATCTGTGTTGTTTATATATATAAAGTACAATTTTTGTAAAGAATTTATTTGATTGCCTTCCCGATTGAATTTTTAGCTGAAATTTTGTATGGATAAACTAGAAACTTGATGAGGAACAAGCTAAAAAAACTTTCGTCAAAATATTCCACCTGGAAGATCCCCACATGGCCACATGGACTCATCCTGACAACGGTTTCCATCAGGTCGGCCTGATATAATCTTTCCTCACACACACACACATAAGGTTGAGTTATAATAAAAGGGTGCTTATTGTGAAAAATATGATTTAATCCGGTGCATTAAAGATAGTCATCCAACGACTAAAAAGGTGGAAGCGCACAAGAATATGTATGTCTTGGCAAGGAAAGTTGGATATAATTATAAAATTATACCTCACACAGTATTATGTAGTGATTACAATAACTAAGGCAACAATTTAATAATTTCAACTAAAGTGGATTCCTCTATTTATTTTCAATACACATGTATAGTAGTATCATACAAAGGTACCAGTGGCGGAGCCAAACATTTAGGGTTAAAGGGGTCGGTCCTTAACAATTTTACATTGAAGGAGCCAAATTTTAAAATATCAACATACTTTCTACAGATTAAAAGTATTTATACATAATATATACTTAAGATTTTTTTTCTTGCAGGGGCCGTGGTCATCGTCAGCCCCTCCCTGTCTCCACCCTGAAAGGTACCACAATACTTGCTTAACCAAAATAATGTTTAAGGTGAGTTTTAGCATGGGATTGAAGAGAGGGAAGAATACTTGCATCTTTATCTCTTCAAAGAGAACATTTTGCTTAAAAAAATACTGTTTTGAGGAATCCAATTCTGAACAATGTTTTAAGAGAATAAGTGAATATGTATGATTTGATAAGGAAAATTATCATAGAATTACAAGATTATAATGCTTCAAAGTTACTAATAGGCATGAAGATTAAATGTATAATCAGAGTTTAGAAGCAATACTTAAACTTAGAAAAAATATTGGTTCGCAAAATGTATGCCAAATCATATTGAAATGAACTAATTATTTTATTATTTTATAGAGGCAAAGGAGATTCTGATACATTAACTTACATAAATATTTCCATATTTTTCCCCTTTTACTTACACTTCCTCCTTTCAACCCACCTTCAAGCACTTCGTTACACCTGAAATGAAACATAAAATAGATCAACTAAAATTGGTATAATTTAGATGCCATATTAGGCATATGGTCTATAATTTATTGTAATGATTAGAGATGTTCACATATAATAAGTAACCATCAAGGTATCTACATTAATACATATACAACTGAAGTCAAACATAAAACATTTACATCGAGTGTTTATAGAAACACATAAATTTATATAAAATTAGGAAGGTTATTACATAAACTTGATTCAACTACAGAAAAACTGAAACACCAATATAAGATTTGAAAAGAAAAATGAAAACCATACAAGCCACAAGGGCAGTACTTATATACAATTACACTATTATGTAGTGATTAAAATTAGCACCAATGTAATCCCAACTACAATGGAGTCCTCTACTTATTTTCTATGCTTATATATAATACTACGTAGTATCATACAAGGTACCACAAAATTGGCTTAAATGTAAACTTTAGGTTGAACATTAACAAGAGAGATTGACTAATAACTCCTATGGGCACAGATGCACATATTTGCCATAAGTTTTTGGCACAGTTGACAAAAATGCATTTTAACACACTAGGCATCATCCAGGCTTGAGAAGGAGCGTGCGTGTGAGAAAGCCGGACTGATCTAGAAGAATTCCAACGGTGAGAGTGAGCTACAGTGTGCGTGTATATATTTATATACGGAGTAGTTAGAGACCTAGGTTTGGGCTCAATCGAGCCAGGGCGGTAAATGGGCCGAAGAATATTATGTTCCGGATCACAAGTGCAGAGGAGTATATTGAGACCAAATAAAAATTAATATTCATATACTCTTTTTTTTAACGGTATTCATATACTCTTCTAAAAAAATAAAACAAGATAAAAATAATATTAATGAATTGAGTGAAAATATTAATATTATAAAAAGACGGAGTTATAGTCATTTGATTAGGATTAATTATAATACGGCACACAATTAAAATTTATTAGTATTCTATTGATTTTAAAAACATGCAATTTCTTTTGAATTCTAATCCGTAATGATTTTTTATATCATAGCTTATTAGTGTCTCTATTTATCATATCATACGTGTAATTCAAAGTTATTAGAATAAATCTTACGATATTTTAATATATATATATATATATATAATTTTTTATGTGAGTATTACAAATAAATTACAAATATTACTTTTGTCCCGTGCATCGCACGGGTACAATACTAGTTGGTTTTAAAAAAGATATGACTGCTATTAAGCCACTGGGAAGTTTGTCGAAAGGGGTGAATGAATCCAACATTGCTGATGAGGTTGTAGCCTTTAAAGCCTGGTTACTGGAGAAAGACTTAAAGGAATCTAAAAATCCTAAGTTCCAAGGAAGAGGCCAAGATGGAGAGTGCTCTGATGCTAATGACCCTGATCTGTCACATGCCAAACTCATTAAGGAATGGAAGAGATCTCAGCAATCAAAAGAAGACCTTGAGGTAATCATCACTTCACCTACTCCTCCCTCTCCCCATCATGTTGATACCTCTCCCCCTAAATCCCTTCACCTAAGTACACCTGTTGGAACTCCTCCTGTATCACCTACACCCCCTAACCCCTCCCCTTCACCTAAACCGAAATCATCATCTTCCTTCTCCAAACATTCAAAATCACAGAAAACCACATCACATCCTGCTACTCCTTATTTCACACCCCCACAATCTCCACCCAAACAAAAAACCCAATCCACTCAACCTTCACCCCAGAAAACACGCTCACCCAAGAAAGCCCCATCCAAATCACCCCGTCACCGGAAGTCTCCTAACATAGACCAATCCCCTTCACCTCCACCTCCACCTCAAAACCAACTTCCTCCACCCCAAAATTCCAATAACCCCACCCCTTCTGCTCACAAATCCAAAACTGCAACTCCACCTGCCTCCCCTCCAAGGCAAGCTTCATCTCAACAGTCTGTTGCTTCCAATCATTCTCCTCCCAAGAAGAAGCAGAAGGTTTATGTTCCTTCATCCTCTGGTGGTGATGGATTCATTGTTAGCAGTTCTGTCTCTTAGAGAAGTATTCACTTCCAAGAGGCAAAAGACTCCTCCGCAGAAGAGCAAACATCGGACCTCCTCTCCAACGCAAAGTCCTAGAAAGCCTCCTATGCCTAAGTCTGGGGGACATGGCATGCCTGGCTATGAAGAGGAATTGCCTCATGTGCTGTGACACCCTAAAAAGTTAAAATTAAAAACAATAATAAGATAAAATAAAAATAAAACAGATATAAATGATTTGATAAAAATAAAATATTAAAGATGAAAATAAAGAGATAAACGTTACATACTCCTATAGCAATATAGTCTTTACAAATAACGTAACTAGATAATTAAATGATACCGAAGGTAGTACATTTTTGGGTGTTGCTAAATTGATAAAACAACAATCATTCGTAAGAAGAAGCCAAAAAAAAAAGGGAATACATTTTGACACCCTACTTATTCTTTACCTAGTAACGTAAAAGCACCCTACTTATACACTAATAAGAGCCCGTTTGGAGAACTCTGTTTTCGGCTTATCAGGCTCATCAGCCAGCTTTTTCACCAAACACGTAACTTTTACTTTCGCGCGCTGAATTGTGTAATAAGCCGAAAAAGTAAGGTTGGAGTTACTTTTCTGGCTGTATTGGCTGAAGTTACTGTAGAGGACCATTTTAGCTATTTTTACATATAATTTTTTCTTTAATTTATTAATAAAATATATTTTTAAAATATTTTTTTCTTAAATCAGCAGAATCAGCCAAAACAGCCACTCCAGCCATAATATCATAAATTTCAGCAGAATCAGCCAAAACAGCCGATTTTGGTGCTACCAAACGGGCTCTAAGTATAGTAAAAAGACTGATTTTTATAAAAAGGGATACTCACCCACGTCACTAATTATACTCCGTATTTAAAACTATACATACACGCGTAATTAATTTACATACATATCAACTTATATACGAAGTATAAATACAAATATTAAGTGGAAGACGATGGGGTCGGGCGATATGTATGGGAATTATGCCGGTTATTATGGAAGAAGATTCTGGTAACGCTCCTCTAGAACCATCGACGTCCCATATAAATAGGGCTGCTGCGATCTACGACCAAGTAAAAGAAAGAAATAGAGAAGAAAACAGAGCGAGAGAAATTGGGAGAGGAAAAGAGAACGAACGTCGCCGGAGTGTATGTAGTTGCAACTTGCAAGTCGATCGGACGGATACTGTCAACGCCGGAGGGCCTGGTACGAAGTTCGCCGGAGAAGGAGAGGAGGTCGCCGCAGAAGCTGAAATGCTCCTGACGTCGCCCGAGGAGGAAATCAGACTATCATGGGACCACCCACTGCCGATGCTAAAAGGAAGGATCCCATAGCTGTGCCGCCGCCGCCCGAAGGACATACCTGCGCTGAACTAGTGAACTTGCTCGCCGGTGCCGAGTGACAATCGGACGTGCTCTACTATTTTTACGTAAGACTCCATATTAATAAAGTGGGCTGGGTTATATTGGGCCGTATGACTAACAATAATAATTAATAATAATAATAATAATAATAATAATAATAATAATAATAATAATAATAATAATAATAATAATAATAGTTGGAATGAAAGTATAACGAGGATGATCAAAGTAATACAGTATAGGTTACGAGAATGTTAATATTTGGGTTATTCATAATGACTTTAGTTCATTTCCGAAGCTGTAACTTTGGTTAAAAAGTATAAATGTTGAATGTTAGAAATGTACGTTCTTGAATAAAATCAATAGGAGATAATTAATAAAATGAGTAAACTCTTATGGAGATTAACTATTAAATCATAAAAGGAAGAATCTATCAAGATTAGAGGAACTCTTTTAAGTTAATAGGATATTGATTTTTGAATTTTAATAGAAGGTGATTTGGTTGAGGAGCAAGGTAGAAGAATTAACTAGGAGTACTTGGAGTTGAGGTAAGTTCCATTGTACCCAAAATTATACCCTTTTGCTTCGTAATTATTTCGAATGTTTTGTGTGCATTTGAGAATTATATTTATGTAAATGTTATTCTATAGAATTTTTTTATACTTGATATGTTGGGTTGTTATCATTGAATATGTATATGAGTTATTGTATATGATTTTGGGTGATTTTGTAATAGTAACTATGTTGATATGATTGTTGGAGTTTGATAAATTAAAATGGAGATTTTAGTGTATTTTGAAAAATATGAGTTTTGATGGATTTGAGAAAACAAAGAAAAATAAATATTTTCATAAAGAGTGGGCATCACGGGAGAAATCCGTGGTGTCGGTTTTCCACGTCCCTTAAAATGTGGAGGATGGTTAGGTCTACTACTACTCAATTCTTGTTGGTATTGGTTTGAGGTGAATTGATGGTCGGTAGAAAACATCCCGGCTTTTGAGTAGTAGTGGTAGTAGTAGCTCCTAATCATTCAATTTTTGAGGTGGCGTAGTTGGTAGAAAACATCCTGACTACCCGGATCAACTTACTAACCCGGAGGGCTTGGAATACCTTTAGGGGGTGTGCACACTTAAGGCTGGTTTGCAACTACTTCAAAAAAAGCACTTCTGAGCTTTTGGCTTAAAAAACCACTTATTTACCAAACACTATCAATTTTTTATTTTTCTCGGCTTTCGTGTCAAAAGTGTTTTTCCACTTTTTATACACCAAAAGCACTTATTTTACCAAACACTACCAACTTTTACTTTTCAAAATCACTTTTTTCTCAAACACTATCAACTTTTACAAATAATCACTTTTTCCAAATCACTCCAAAAGTGCTTTTTTTAAAGCAGAAGCTGTTGCAAACACTCCCTTAAGGTAGTTGTTTCCGTTTCCATTGAGCAGTTGCGGTACCGGCGATAGTCCCGGGGTGGCCGTACATAACAACGGACCACCGGGCTCAACCAAAGTGTTGAGCACTGCCCTTCTAAATTACTAGGAAGTTAGAGAAAAACTGATTTTTGAGAAGTTCAAAGAGAAGAGAATTTTGGTATTTTCTGTATCTTTGGAATTACTATGATTTATGAGTTATGTGATTGGAATTTTGTATAAATGTTGTTTTACATACGGTGTTTTGAAAGTACTTTTCTCTAAAATGTATTAAAAAAAAATTATATATGTATCAAATTATATTAGTTTACGGGGTTGGGTGGAACTTACTTAGCATTGTTGCTAATTTTTGTTTTGTTTGTTTTTCTTTCTGTACTTGATTTTATACAGGTGATGATTTGACGAAGTTGTTGATTTCGAGAGAGCCTCCGCTAGAAAATGTAGCTGTAGTAATCAATGTAGTTAATTTACAAGATCTAAATAATCAATTTTGGAGTTTGAGTATTTTCAGCCTGTGCACTCGGTTAAGAGAAAACCGAGTGTGGCGGTAACGCCCCTATTTTCCTTTGAATATTTTTCCGCTGTAAACTCTGATGTTTTCAAATAAAAGTCCAATATTTCTTTTGAATAAATTTATATTTAAATATATTTTTGGGTGGGAAATTTGGGGGTGTTACATGTGCCTCTGAAAGATTTCATTCATGCAGCTGGAGAATTTGGACAGAATGTCAGTGTAGGTCTTCAAAAGCTGATCAAGATCAACAGGGACACATTCAGACAGAATGCCTCCATTCTTGACAATTATCAACAAGATTTACCCTGCTTGAGAGAAGACTTCACTCAGCTAAAGAATTCTCTGAACAAGTATGCAAAGACTGCCTTTGACAGAACATATGCTCTGGCTACTTCTGTGGACAACATTCAACATACTCTGGGTTCTATTCAAGAAACCCTTAAATCTCAGAACATTGCAATTACCTCTCTAGCCATAAGTTTGGTCATTCTGAAGAAGTCAGATGAGGAGAAGACACATTGAAGAAAATAGAAGAGATGTGCTCTGTTGCTGAACAGAAGACCACCTCCTTGGTTAATGTTGATAAGGACAGATATCAGAAGCTGGTCCTCATAGAAACTCAGAATAAAAACTTGGCTCATGATGTAACTAAGCAGAAGGAGCTTCTTGAAACTCTTACTTCTGTCACTCAGACTGTACCTGCTACCATTGAAAAGTTGAGTATGGCCAATGCTAATGAATTTCAGAAGATTGAAATTCTCCCCAGTAATCTGCATGATGCCAACAGGAGGGAAGAGGATACTCAATCTGGAAGTTTGCTGCTGGCCAGAACCTCAGCATCTGGTTCAGCTGATCATGTTATATATTATGAGAGAAATAAACAGAAAAAGATTGAAGATGGTACTTATAAACCTCCTCCTCCTCCTCCTCCCAAGAAGTCTACAAAGAAGTCCTCTTTCTCCTTCTCTGATTGGAAAAAGAGTAGTTTATCTAGACCAGATCCTGATCTGTTTGAGCAAATGAGGAAAAAGATGACTCCTTTACAGCAAGAAAACATATATCTGGATCATGAAGAGTTCATCATGTTCAGCTCTGGAGGATCCATTGAAGAAGCTGAAGATTGGTGGAAAAGGGAGATAGTGCCTGGCAAGACGGCTCAAGAAGGTATAATGAACTATCTTGACTGCAAGCTAACTCCTGCTTGGTCTTCATATGCTACCCCAAGGAACTTGTTGACAATTAGAGCCAAGGTTAATGCAAAACTTAAGGAATTTGAGGCAGAAGCAGCAGCAGCATAAGAAGAGATTTTGTAACCAGAACATCTTGTACTCTTCTTACTGTCTCCTTTAGTAAAAGCTCTTATGTCCCTCTCCTTGATTATCTATCTGTTACTAACCTTGTTCTGCTCTTACTTGTGTTATTTGTTTGCTCTGATATTCTGTATTTAACTCTCTCTGTTCTTAACTCTTATTGCTTTCATATGCAAGTTGCCCACCAAGATTAAAAATTGAAGCTCTAACTTATTTATTTTATGGTGAAAGGCACTTCACTGGAAGTAGAATAAGGGTTTTGGCATCATCAAAAAGGAGGGAATTGTAAGGAATAATTGTATTTAGATTTTGATGATGCTAGACCAATTAAGATATTAGAGTACCCCCATTAGAATTTTTGTATTAGAATTTTTCTAAGTGTAAGCTCTAGTGTATTCGACTGGATAGAAGACCTCAGGTCTTCTGGTATCTCATATCTAACAGAAGTGCTCAAAGTGTTCGTGGACTTGGCATTTCTCAGAAGATCCACCAGAAGCCCTCACACTTAGAGATTTATACATGTTCTACCTCAGCTGGTAAACTAACGGGATATTCCCTAACGGCTAGGAGTCTCTCAATGGAAACACTACTGGACACGCATTTAATGCTCATTTAATTAGCTCCACTCGTTGAGATATTTAAAGATGACGAGTGACCAAGGATCCAGGCGAATAATATTTAATTCGCCCCAAAATAGCAAGTTGTCTACTTTTGGAACCAACCGATCAAATCAACAGTACAAACATTTAATGTAGTTGTCTTCTACACTCCAACGGGAAGGCATCTCTCAGTATATATATGATACACTTTGAAGCAACTGGCCAGATAACTTTCTAATCCTCCATACGAGAACACGGAAGATAATATTTTCAAATCTTTCAAGTTTCAACACCCAACACATAGAAAGTTCCTCCAGTACTTCAACACTTCAAGAACTTCATCTTCATATCTTCTTCGAAGCACGTTGGAAAAAATCTTTTATTCAAGAGGATCTTTTTGTTTAAGAAGGACGTCTTAAAGTAACTGGAGTTGTGAAGTGGGGATACTTCAAGAGACTCAGTGAAACAAGGCCAGTCATCAGGAAGCTAGGAAAAACATCCCGAGTGACAACTAGACTTGAAGAAGATGAGGAGTGCTTCTTAAGTGTTAGGAACTAAGGCGTTGTAATCTGCGTTTTTACAAGCTTAGTGGGGCAGTGGACTTGAGGAACAAGTTGCTCCTTGAATCACTATAAAAATCTCTGGTGTCATTACTTACTGCTTTTAATACGTGCATTAGATTCTAACTGATTAACTCTAAAAGACTTGGACTTTGTGTTCAACAAACCTTGTCCTAAGAGTTAACAGAAAGGCAATTGCCTTAGTAAGTTTTTCAGGCTGCCCGACCAGAACACCTACCAGAAGACCCATCCGCTGCCAGTCTATTCTGTCAAGTCTAGTACTTGGACTTGAAAAAAGTTAAAAACCAGAACAATCTATCCCCCCATAGATTGTTCCTTGTGTGACCAGGATCAACAAAAACATTTGTTAGGGGAAGAAGACAAATAGAAAAGGAAATAAGGGGAAAAAGAAGAAACAAAAACTTAAAGAGTAAAACGTTAGGAATTGGAAAATTTAAAAATGCCTCTAAGTCTCTAAGACTCTAAGCTGACATTTTTTGGATGAAATGTATATTAACACCCAGAAAAACTATACATCAAGCGTCCTAGATCTCCTAACCCCCCCCCCCCCACCCACCCACCCACATAATGTGAGGGTGAAGAGAGGTTTTTTCTCGATCTAATCCACACCAAAAGGACCAAGCATAAATACTTGCCCAATCGGAAAATCAAACATACATCCGTGCTACCTAAGTAAGCAACTAGAACAGAAGTTCAGAGGTTAAAAGAAATACAAAGGTGTTGTAGTAGCAAACATCCCGAGTCCAAGACGTTGCCTCATGTCGTGGCATCTAAGATGTCCATGCCTCAGTGTCCGAATTGCCCAAGCCGCGGCATCCAAAAGGTCCATGCCGCGGCATACAAGTGTCCATGTGGCAGTGTCTAATAACTTCAAACCTCGACATCCAAAATATCCATGTGTCGGCCTTCTTCAAAATTTAATCAAGTCATGTGGGTATATACTGAATAGTATCTTATATACCACATGCTTGATTTTCGCAATGGTCTCCTCTTCCTTCACATCCACTTCGTCAAATCGGTTGGCATTCCTAGCATGCCAAATGTAATAGACCGCGGCACAAAAGGCAATACGAGCAGCTTTCCCTTTGATCTTCGATCCTTTATGGTCCTTCAAAATCCATTTGTGTGACACTCCGAAAATTTAAAATTAAAAATAAAATAATAATAATAACAATAATAATAATAATAATAATAAATCCGTATAGGATAATAATTGTGTTAATCCGATAAAACATTGCAAGGTGGCATTTCTTATTGAGTTCACCAAATAAAATTTTGACTTACATAACAAAGGTGATATTTTAAGAAGAAATTAAATAATACATTTAAGTGTACAAAGTACACACCAGGTACCCACATATAACTAACAAATCCTCCGCAGGATGGTTAACAATACTCAAGTTAACTTTTACAATAATATAAGTAGTAGTATATATGTACGTACGTAATAATATATGTACGATAATATATGTACGTATTGTATTACTCCGTACATAATTAAGAACTTAATTAACAAATATACACACCAGGCAACGATCAATTATACGTAGTAATAATATTATGGGAAGGCTTCGGTTCATTCCATATATAAACGTATACTCGCCGGATCCTCTGCGTAAACACATGCTTTTAAACCAATGAAGGAGACTGCAGTAAATGCTAAAGATTCTGTACATATAGACATACGCCCTAGAAACATCGACGAGCTGTATAAATAGTAGCGTTTCCATCAATCTGCCCTGCACCATACGAAGAAAAAAAATAGACAAAAAGATAATAAAAAAAAGAGAGAACCGAGAGAGAGAGAGAGAGAGGGAGTCTAGAACTCACGCCGACAAGAGACGAGAGTAAGCGAGGGGAGGACGGGAAGATCACCTCCGGAGAGAAAGAAGACCACCAGAGTCGTTATTGCCTTCGCCGGAGAAAAGGAAGGACGGACCAAGCACGTCGCCGGAGGAAAGAAAGCTCGCCAGAGAGGGACGGATTGTCGGGAACGCATCACCACGTACCGTTGACTGCTACCCCTGTGTCACCGCCCGTCGTCATAGGTAAGTCTTGATGTATCCCTGCGTTCGCTAGATAGATTGACGTTGAGGAAGACGATGCACGAGATATACTTTGCGGTCGTTTCTTCCTTTTCACAATCAGTATAAATTATAAATTAGCCGTTAGTATAAATTAGTCGGCCGTTAGTATACTGGGACGATAACGGGACTGTAACAAACAAACTGGGCTGACCGAAAACCAGTTAATTTAAATAATAATATAATAATAATAATAATAATAATAAAGCAAGGACAATAATAATAACTATTTCGAGATTGGTGGTTAATTATAAAACTTATGGGTGAATAGAAATTAAATGAGTAATGGACTGATTAGTTAAACGAACCAGATTGATTGAATTGTTTGGCTTGTAGTAACTAACTGTATAAAAGTAAACAGGTGATCCTTATAAAAGAAATAGTATGGGAGTGATTTACAATCGAATAAGGATTTACTTAGAATAAATACGTGATTGGGTTACCAGCAGTAATAAAAGTAAACTAATGAATTGTTATGGACTTGACTATTTCGTTACTTGATTTACGATGAGTATTGATATAGCAGTGGACTATTAAGGAGATTCGGGAATTTATGGACCAAAATAAAACTTATGGATTTATGAAGAAAAAGCTAAACATGTTACATTCATTCAAATCAATTAAATAATTACTTAATTCGAATATCGTAATTCGAATGTGTTGTTACGAGATAAGGCAACAAACAACTAATAGTGAGTGTTTAATAACCTTAGGAGCAGATTACTAAGCTGAAAGTTTGATCTCTTATGGAACGAATTTGTTGGTTAAATAGGTTAACTAAATTAATGTAAACTACTCAGAAGGGGTAGATGAATTAATCTATAAATGATTATTGACTTTAGAATTTTCAATAGAAGGTGAATTGGGTGAAGGTGCATAGTTGGAGGATTAGCTATAACATATCTGGAGTTGAGGTAAGTCACATTGCAACCAAAATGCATTTTACCTCGTATATATTGTATGTATGAAATATGAAATTGTACTATTTGACTATTTGTTGAAAAATTTATGAATATGTGATGCATTGTTGAATGTTGAATAACTTTGGGGAAATTACGTGAGTAGTAATCCCTGAATTTTTGGGAATTAATAAAGATAAAATGAACCTTTTTCAATGTAAGGGCATCACGGGAGAAATCCGTGGTGTCGGTCCCCTTCACGACCATTAATTGTGAAGGAGTGATTAGGGATGCTACTATTTGCTTGGTGGGTTCGGTAACCAATCCGAACAAATTTAATTAAATGAGTTTGGTGCGTTCGGTAGAAAAATCCCGAACGATAGATATTTGGTGGATTTTTGGCAGTAGTAGCAGTAACCTAGTCACTTCTATATGGTAATCCCTTTTTGGTAGAGTAGGGGGACGTTGACGTCCGAACTACTTGGGCTTCTTACTACCCGTAGGGCTTGGAATCCCTTTCTGGGGGTGTGCACACTTAAGGTAGAAGTTCAGTTTCCTCAGGTTAGAAGTGGTACCGACAAAAGTCCCGGGGTGGCCGTACATAACAACGGACCATCGGGCTCAATAAATTGTTGAGCACCGCCCTTCAAATGTATTAGGAGTTTGATACAATTATATTTTAGAACATTACTAAAGGAAATATTTTATTAAATGAAATTGAGGATCATCCATTTTTTTTAAGAAGTATACCATGAAGTTTATCTCTCAAACCACTTTTCCGTATACATGTATTATACAAAATATTATTTTCACCAAACCTATTATTTTACGGGGTTGGGTGGGACTTACTTAGCATAAGCTAATTTTTGTTCCTTTTTCCTTCTTCTCTTTCTCTATATTTACAGATGATATTGCTGTGGATGAT